CGCATCCCTTGCGCTGCCCGCCCGGCCCCGCACCTGCCCCGCACCCGCCCGCAGGCCCCTTCCCCACTGAGAAACAAAAGAGCTCCGCTGAAGAGGCGGACAGGCGGCTTTCGACAGGTTCTTAACGGGATTTTCCTCCTCGTACCCCCTTCTTTTTCTTTTCTCTGTCCCCCAAAACGCGCGGCCCCTTCGGAGGCGGGGGCGGCCTGGGCAGCGGCCCCTGCCCAGGGGACACAGCGGTGCGTGCCCACCCGCGCACGGGGGGCGAGGGCTCAGCTCTCCCTAACGATTCCTGGGATCAGAGAGCTCCAAAACCGGCGGGACAAGGGGGGCAGGTCTCGTTTGGGGCCCGCAGCCCTGTGGCACCGCAGCGGTACCGCCCGGCCTCGGGGGGCACCGCACCCACCCGGGGATGCTCCGTGCAGAGCTCTGGGTCCCCTCCAGCCAGTACTGAGGTGCTCCTTTCTTTAAACAAAACACCGATATTTTCGGTTTGCTTCCAAGCGCTTATGTTAGTTTGTAAGTTAAAAGCCTTACGGTTTTTAATTTATTTTAATTTTTTTCCGAGGTGAGCGGCTAACACAGCCGACAACGGCAACGGGAAATCCCGGTGCTGTGCTGTGGCACAGACAAGTGGAGAGTGGCAGGGGGAGCGATGGCATTCGGGGGCGGTGTGTGGGAAGGCACGTCCCCTCTGCGGCGGGAGAGCCTTTGAATCGTTGTTTTAAAAAATTATATTTATATATATATATATGTACATGTATGTACGCTCTTTAAAAGGTGGGGGAAGGGAGGAATTTCTCTTTCCTTTGCGGTTTTGGAAGGCAAAAAAAGAACATTATTTTACTACCGATGGGAGGAAAAGCGCCCACTTCATTATTTCCTAATATCGTTGTTGAGGGAGTAGGCAGGGAGCGCCCAGGCTGCGGTTGCAGGTGGGATGCGGTACTGAGCAGAGATGGGGGAAAAAAACCCAATTCCTAGGAAAAAACCCTTAAATCACCTTCTTAAAAACCTTTTTATTTTTTTCCCCAGCCACAATCTAAAAGCAAATGGGATGCAAAGAGGCTGAAGGGCGCAAAAAACCAGAATAAAACTAAAATATCCGCAGTGAGGGCTGTATCCCTAAGGGGTCTCTGCTGCCGGTGCGGGGATGAACGAGCTGTTTCTACAGCCAGCCCCCCAAAAATGGGGTTTTTTTTGATGGCAGCGGAGGAGGAGGGCGACTGAGCGTGGCGCATCCTTGGCTTTGCGTGGCAATTATTACATGTGAGTGCACAGATAGGTCGCGAAAGCCGAGCGGGGCACGGCTGCGCCCCGGGTTTAGCAGCGTCTTGACGGGCCGGGATTTAAGGGGCGAAATCGAAACTCTCGGGCCGTCACCGCTGCCCTCGGCCGCCGTTTCGCCTCTTCACAGCTCGGGAAAACCAGTGCTATGACGGACACGGCGAGGGATTAATCCAACGATTTATTTTTCTTTTTTATTAACATTATATTTTTTAAAATTCATCCTAAGACGAGTTCGTTATGAAAGAAGGCGTGAAGGAGCTCTGTTTCTGGAGGCTGCAGGGGGCATCAGGGAAGAAGGAACGAAAATACATCCAAATCTCTGTCTGGTGCGTGATTATCTTCTCAAACAGCCCTGGTGAATCCGTGCCCCTGCCCCGGCAGCCCCGAACTTCGGCTGGGAGACCCAAAATGGTCCCAGCGGGCACCACCCCGCACCCCCGGCCCGCAGCCCTGGATGCCAGGGAGTGCCGGGGGTTCCTCTGGGAGCCACCCAGCTGACCTCTAAGGTCCCTCCAACCCAAGCCTTCCTACGATCACGCCAAGAGTGGAGGAAATGGGCTTTTGGCTCTTCGTTGAGCATCCAGAATGTCATGGATGTGTCGGGCTCGGGAGATACCTCTTAGAGGGAAAAAAAAAAAATCCTAACCAAAATAAATAATAATATTTTAAAAAATATGAGCAACAAACAAAAAGGGAACAAAAAACCCAAACCGACAGAAAACCAACCAAACAAGAACAAAAAAAAAAAAAAAAAACCCAAAAAAAAAAAAAACCACAAAAAAACAACAAAAAAAACACAAAAACCCCCAAAACAAAAACACCAAACAAAAAGCAAACAAACAAAAAAACCCCAAAAAACCTCAAAAACCAAAACAAACAAAAAAAAACTCCAACCAAAAAAAAAACATTAAAAACCCCAAACCAAAACAAAACAAAACCCCAACACAAAACCAAAACCCCAAAACCTAGTAAACCCCTCCCCAAACAACCAATAAAACAAAACCTCCAACCAAGGAAAGGTAAAAAAATAAAAAAGCCACGGGGAGCTTGAAAATAAGTTCAGGAGCTCGGGGTCGCTGCGGAGAGAACGCTCCGGGGCAGGGCTGCCCCGCGGGGGCCGTGGGACCCTCTGCCCTGCTCGGCCGCTCCTCCGGCCGGGGATGCCCGGGGTCGGGGGTCCCTTTTCCCCCCTCCTTGCCCGGGGGACCCTCGAGCTGAGAGCCCGCAGAGCTGAGCCCCGCCGGACCCCGAGCTCAGTGAGGAACTGCGGGGGATGCTGAGGAGGTCAGGGGCTCGGAGGGGCACAGGAGGGGGGTGCCGCTGTGCCCGCACCCCCTCCCCTCTCCGAGAGCACCTCGGAGCCCCTGCCCGGCTGGGAACACCCACCCGGGGTCCCTCTGCCTCCGGGACGCCGGCTCGCTCCTGCCCCTTTCCAGGAGAGGGAGAAAAAGATTTTCTGTAGCAGCGGCTGGAAAAACAAAAAGACTTTCTCCCTTCTTCCCCCGAATTACTACCGGCGGCTGAAATCGGGTAGAAAGCACAAAAATAGGAGCGGGGGCGCGGGGGGGAAGGGCTACGGGACACAGAAAGAGGGAGAGGAAGAGAGGAAAACCCGGAGAGATGGAGAGGAGGGTCGGGGCATTTACCTCTGCTTCTCTCCCCATCGCTGCCCCCAGCGCGCCGGGGAAGGCTGGAGGAGCGGGTGGACGGACGGACGAACGGACGGACGGGTGGACGGATGGAGGCAGCCGCGTCACTCCTGCGCTCTCCCTAACTCTCAATTAACCCAAGCAGGATAATGGTGCCAAACCTTATCCAAAGGTTAGCGGCTCTCAGGGGGGCGTTTGAGCTGCGAATCGTTTCAGCCGAAGCTGAAAGGCGAGAGCGAGCCCGCGATGGAGCCGCAGCCAGCGCTGGAGCCGGGGGCTCTGGCACTCTCTGCCTTCTCTGAGCAGCTCCCCTGGGCGGGCTGAGGGTCTCCCGAACCCCCCCGAGCAGCCCTAGGGGTGTGCAGCCCTGCTCCTGCGGGGAGCAGCTCGTCCAGACCCCACCGTGCTCCCCAGGCACATCCAAGGCGGAGGAGCAACTCTGCCTTATCTCTGCAGACCAGGCTCGTGAGGCTTGTGGCTGGGTCTTCTGATTGTTAAACTGAGGGGAAAGAGCAATTTGTGCTCAAAAATCATTTAAAGCAAGCCAGGAAGGCCAATCCTGGGTGTGTTGTCTTTCTAAATCCCTCACCACCTGCCCCTCTCCGGGCTGCTGGGCAGCACAGAGCAGTGCCAGTTGAATGAAGGTGCAGATATTTGGGAGCAGGATGGCCATCGCTCCAAGTTCGCTGCTCAGTCAGGCTCCCAGCTGCAAAGGATTTGGTTCTCATGGGCTTTGGGGGGCTGTGAGCTGCTGTAAACACACTAGACTGTAAATTGTGACCGTAAGAAAAAGGGGGTGTGCAAATCTTGAATGTTCACCTCCATCCTCCCCTGTAACACTCAGGAAAAGAGTGGCTGTCCAAATGCAGGTGTGTAACCCCTGATTCCTGCTCAGACTCCTGGCCTATGCCACGATCTTTGCCCACACCCCTGTAACCTGTGCAGGGCACCTCCAGCACAGCTGCCAGCTGTGGGGCTGAGGGGCACCAAGAAAATTCCGCGGTCACACCTGCCCGAAGAACAGAACCCTTACAGGTGAGCCCAGGCATTCCTGGAGCAGCAGCCACCCCTCTGCACAGGCACATGAGCACCTAGGGAGGGGATCCCAGGACGTGGAAGTGGTTCCACCTTCCTGCAGCCGTCGCCAAAAGCAGCTCCTGGGTTTGTGGCCGGGCCGATGGCACAAGATGCACAGGAGAGGCTGCACAGCAGCGCCCTTCATCCCTCCTCTGCCTCCTCATCCCCCGCCGCCACCGCGCCGGGCAGCTCTGACAGGGTAATGAAGAGTTGCACGATATTCTATAAAAAGGCAATTAGATAAACTGCTGGAGTGGGACCAGCTCCCGTGACCTAGTTAATAGCTCTGGGAATTTCGGGTAGGGAAGAAGGCGTCGGTGTCGGGACGTGGTGCACGGTGAGAGGGCTTTGGAGGGGAGGGGAAGGGAGGGGAGGCTGCTGGAATGTCCCAAACCCCGAATGTCCCAAGCCTTGCGTTCTCCCTCTCGAGTGTGTTTGGAGCTCACCAGCAGCAAAAAGCACGCAGTGAAAACTCTGGATGTAGGATCGCACAAGCTGCTGCTGGGCTTGTGCTCTGGCTGTGTGGCTGATCCACAGTCCGGTGCTCCAGACAAAGACAGCAGCAGCCACGCTGGCAGAGACTCTGCAGTAAAATAAGCACAACAGAGTGAAATCCAAAGGCAGTCTCCAGGAGAAAGCCCGCAGTGGATGTCCCCTCTTTATTTCATTTTTTTTACCAAACACACAAAATGGCTGCCTAAATTACAGACTCATTAAAAAAAAAAAAAAAAAAGACCACACATATCAAGGATTGGGAATATAAAATTTTTAGATTAATGTGTATTATGATAAGAAAATGTTATGGTATGTAAAAAAAATGCTAAAAAATGCTTTCTTGCTTTAACCTCACTATTTGAAAAATAAATAACTTCTGATCTGTAATTTGGGATAAAATTTGTGCATTAATTGCTGTGATTTCCATTTCCCAGAGG